TATGTACAGAAGGGTGGCTACTTGAACTTAATCAGGGTTCCATAAGTAGGGAGGGAAACGGGGGAAGGAATATATCAATGAAATATTTTAAAAAGCATAATCTAGCAATGGTGCACGGATAGAGGGCCCAGGAATAGTCTGGATGTGACTCTATCAAAGGAGGCTGATATGTGCTCCCAAAGCAGTGGTTCCCAACTGTCCATTCATTCATTCATTCACTCAATATTTAATGAATGGCCACCATGGGTCAAGCACTGTGCTACGTACTAAGACAAAATGGCGAACTTAGAAAGCTTCACAATCTAATGGACGAAGCAATTATCAACAAAATAATCCACAAGCAAATGTAAATGTGTAACTTGGTTAAGTGTTACAAAGGAAGCCAGGATATTTGTTTTCTCTTTTTAAAATTGAGATAAAATTCACAGATTTTAAATACACAATTTGACGTACACGCCTAACAACTACTCCATCAAGATAGAGAGCATTTCCATTATCCGAGAAAGTTCCTCTGTGTCCTCTTTCTTTTCAATCCTCACACTCCCACAAAGGCAGGCATGGTTTGGTTTCGATTATTTCTATTATCATGGTATTATTTCTATTATCATCTATTGCTTTTGCCTGTTCTCAAATTTCATATAAATGGCTTTTTTTTGGTCAACAAATGATTTTGAGCTTTATCTGTGTTGTTGTGTTTAAAGGGAGTTCATTTTTGAAACTTGTGTTCCATTGTTTGATCAATTCATTTGCCTATTTTTCTGTTGGTAGACATTTGAGATGTTTCTGGTTTGGATCTGTTATGAATAATGTGGTTTTGAATATGCACGTATAAGCTTTTGAGGGATATATGTCTTAATTTCCATTGGGCAAATACCCAGTAGAATTGCTCGATAATAGGGTAGAAAGGTGGTTAGCTTTATAAGAATGATGAATGTTAGAACTAACAAAATGAATTCAGTAAAGTTGCAAGATACAAAATCACTATTCAAAAATCTGTTGCATTTCTACATATTAACCATGAACTATCAGAAAGAGAAATTAAGAAAACGCTCCCATTTACAATCACATCAAGAAGAACAAAATACTAGGAATGAATTTAACCAAGGACGTGAAACACCTGTACCCTTAAAACTATAAGACACTGATGAGAGAAATTGAAGGAGATGCAAACCTTAAGAGCGCGACCTGAGCCGAAGTCAGACGCTTAACCGACTGAATTACCCTAGCATCCCGTATACCGTAATTTCTTTATCCATTCATCTACCATTGGGCTCTCTGGTGTCAATGCAGAGCCCACTTCAGATCCTCTGTCCCCTTCTCTCTCTGTCCCTTCCCTGCTTGTGCGCTTTCTCTCTCTCTCAAAAGCAAATAAGCATTTAAAAAATAAAACAAAAAAATGTGGTATACATACATACATACCTACATGTACATATACACAAACCTATGTTAAATATATAATATATATTGGAACATTACTCAGCCATAAAAAAATGGAATCTTTCCATTTGTGACAACATAGGTGGACTTGAGGGGATTATGTTAAGTGAAATAAGTCGGACAGAGACAAGACAAATACCATATGATTTCACTTATATGTGGAATCCAAAAAAAAAAAAACCCACGAAAAAACCACCAAGGCAAACAAATAAAACAAAGCAAAGAAAGAAAAAAGTTGAGCCCATAGATACAGAGACTAGATTGGTGGTTGCCAGAGGAGAGGAGTGTGTTGGAGAGGAGGCCGAAATGGGCGAAGGAGGTCAAAAAGTACAAACTTTCAGTTAAAAAAGAACTCAGGCCGATGTTTGTAAAATGGCAACTGCAGTTAATAATACCGTATTGCATATTTGAAAGTTGCTAAGAGGGTAAATCTTCAAAGTTCTCATCACAAGAAAAAAAAAGGTAACTGTGTATTGAGGACGTTTATAGACTTAAGATGATCATTTTACAACATACACAAATATCCAATCGTTACGGTGGACAACCGAAGCTGGTATAATGTTGTATGACAATTATATCTAAAAAAAAGAAAAAAAGAAAGGAAAGAAAAAAAAGAACTGTGGATATTTTAAAAACATTTAGTTTCATGGTTTTCAGTCCCCAGAATTCTGACTTAGTCTGTCTGAGGTTCCTGGGCGTATATAGTGCGTTGTTTTGAAACTCCACACAACTACTGGTCTAAATTACAGCGGTGGTAGTGGGAAGGAAGTTATTTTGGTTTGGTTTTCTGTTCCACCACAAAAGCACATGAATGCAAACAATTGCTGTGGTTTTTTTTTTCCTGGTTAGCTGCAAAATAGCTTTCTCTGAACTCCCCCCCCCCCCATCCATTAGCCACAGTGTTGAAATAGTCTCTCCTTTTAGTTTCTCCAGTGAAATGCAAAACTCTATTTTCTCAGTTCTTGCTTACAGTGAAATGAAAGCTCGGTGAACTCCTTGGAGCAGCCCTGCGAATTGCTAAGACGAGTAAATAAAAACAGGCCCTTAGGATGGAAGAGGGCTCGGTGCTAAATGGCGGTGAGGATGTGTTGGCTAGTACGCTGGTGGGATTTTCTCGGCCACTTTGACTTTCATCTTTTTACTGTTCTACGTGGTGGTGAAAAATAATGGGCCGTGTTCTGGCAGCTGACAGTGACGTCGGACAGTGGCTTCTGAATATTCAGCGTGGGGACAGCCCAAACGGCTGCATGTCACTTCTAGAAGAAGTCCCCCGTCTAGGCAGAGAACCTGAGACACAGGAATAGGAAGGGACTCCCTTCATAGCTTCGGGGCTGGCGGAGCTGGGACCACAACCCAGGTGGCTTGGCTCTCAGCCTGGCTGACCACACGGCTACCCACACCGCCTGGGCTGGCCCAAAACAAGCAGCCCATTGAGCAATTGCACAAACAACAATGAGTGATGGATGGTCAGAGCGAGAAACAGGCACAAAGCAACTGCAGCCCCATCACTTCCTGGCCCCTAAATTTCCAGGCAAGCCTGGAAAAAGTGTGGTTACTTAATTGAGTTTGGCCCAGCTTTCCAATTTGGAAACTTTTTGTGGTCACTGCCAAAAGTAAAAGCCTGCCTTGTAATGGGGGTGGAGAGTGCCTTTGAACTCCATACCTGGTTCTCATAAGGCGGTGCTAGTGGAATTAAGACTGGAAAGAAATAGTTAACAGATGAGCATAACGTCGCCCTGGGAGGGCTTTGGTGAAACAAGACTGCTTTAGAATGTTGATGCTGCTCATCTGTGACTCTGTTCTCCCTCGGATTTAGCTAGCAACGGGTGGCTGTGACCAGTGGATTTTGGTTTAGAATCCACTTAGATGACCAAGTCTCATCCTACCCTCCTCCTCAAATCTGCCACTTAACAGTAGCCCAAATTCATAGTCCCTGCATGCTTGAAGCCCAGGCCAAATGGCTGGGCTCGTACTGTTGGCCAGGGTGTGCCTCCCGTAAGGCACTCTGACCTGCTTGGCCTTGGTATGGCCGTAGGCCCAGCCCTAAATCAACTCTAAACCCTGGGTGTCCCCAGGAGATAGAGCTGCCTGTCTGGGCAGTTTCCTGTTTCCCCATGCCCATTTTCTAGTCCTGAGCTGGATAATCCCAACAAGTCTAGGCTCCGCCCTCTCATTTAGAAACTGAGGACTTAAGGAAGTACTGAGGGGAAAAGCAGAGTGCATGTAACACAATATTCGTTTTTAAATAGACCCCCTGGGCCCAGTATAGACAATAACCATTTTGAATAACGCAGATCAGGGGCCACAATGTTAGGAATCCTAATTAAAATTCAGGATTTCTTTGGTCAGATTAGAGCCGTGGGCGGGCCTCGTTTTGTGTTCGTCATTAAGAGGTATTGATTCCATGGCTCTGCTCTACTACTATTTATTTATTCACTCAACAAACATGGAAGGTGGGCTTCTATATTTTGAAAAACAAAGCTTAGGTTCTCATGGCCACAGCCCATTGTAACTCACAGAGCACACCCGTGACTTCTGGTTTATATAATACAACACAGTTGCATGTATTTTACTAAAGTCTAAGATCCTTGATGCCTGGAAATGTGTCTTCTTTAAAAACATTTTTTAATGTTTATTTTTGAGAGAGAGAGAGCATGAGCAGGGGAGGCACAGACAGCGCGCGCACGAGAGGGACACAGATTTCAAAGCAGGCTCCAGGCTCTGAGCTATCAGCACACAGCCCCACGCGGGGGCCCAAACTAACAAACAGTGAGATCATGACCTGAGCCGAAGTCCGACGCCATGCCTAACCGACTGAGCCACCCAGATGCCCCTGGAATTAGGTCTTGGTATTCATTTTCGTGTCCCCAATATCAACAAGCACAGTATCTTGCCCAAAGTAGGGACTCGTAAGTATTCGTTGAGTCGGATTACGCTGGAAGGCCGTTAAAAGGCACGACCAACAACAGCGATCCTTGACTCCTTTCCATTGGGCTAACAGTCGGGCAGACGCGTCCGCCGGGAAGGAGATGTTCGCTTCACAATTCGGGAAGACCGCAAAACCGGGCGGAGACCGGTGTGGCAGAAGTATAGTTAACGTTCCTCCAGTCGGTCCAGAACGACCGCGCCGGGTCACCACAACTTCAGTCTTCTCGTTCGAAAGTATTCTCACCCCCTCTCACCTTTCCAGAACCACCCGCCCCTTTCTGCTGCTTCCCCAAGGGCTGTCGCCAACGGACTCTAATTCAAAGACTCCAGAGCCCACCCTGGACCCCTCCGGCTCCGGGTCAAGAACTCTCCGGACCCGAGGCCTTAAGAACGCGGGCCAGGAAAACACGGGGTCACACGCGGGGCAGGCGCCGAACTGGCCGCGGCTGGGGGAGCGGCGCTGAAGGCGGGGCCGCTACGGGGCGGGGCGGGGCGGGGCGGGAGGAGGCCTGGGGGCGGCTTGGGTGTCACCGCCAACCCGCTCCGGCCGGAAACTGGCGCTAGTTTCCGGCCGGACGGCCGAAAGCCACCGATCCCGAACCGGCGGCCCGAGCCGTAGAGGCGACGGGGTGTGGAGCAGGCAAAGAGCCACTGGGGGAGGCCGGTCCCCAGCAGCGCCGTCTGGCTCCGGCTCCCGGTCCCGTGCGGAGCGACAGCCGCGGTCGCCGTCTCCGCCGCCGCCGCCGCCTCCGTCGTCGTCGGGGGAGGGGCCAGCCGGACCCCGGGGTCACAGCCGAGGAATGAGGAGCGGCGGCCGGGCCCCGCTCTCCGCCCCGGCCTAGGGCCTTGCCCCGGGAGCCGCGAGGGTAACGGAGACCCCTGCCTCGTCACCTTCCCCCGTCCGCCCCCTCCCCTCCCGCCTCCTCAGGACACCCGAACTCTGACCCTCCGGTCTCCACTGTCCCCCTTCTCCTTTCTGGTGATATTTCTTCACCCGGAGCCACCGCCTCCCGGCACCCCCTCCTCGCCCTGACTCTTCCCTGCTTGGTCCCAACCTTCCACCCACCCCGCTCCCCTGTCCTCCTCCCTTTCACCTGCTCCCCGCGTTCCCAGCCCCGAGCCCGGTTCCCGGCCTCCCTCCCCGAGCTCTTGCGGACGGTGCCCCCTTGTCAGCGAGACTTTTCGGGAAGGGATGGTGGAGTTTTAAGGCTGTTTAGAGTGCAGGCTACCCCCGATCCTACCCGCACAGTAGGTAAAGTTCATGGTACAAGTCTCCGTATAAAAAGTACCACGACAAGAAAACGAGCCTGTGCTTCCCCGTAGAGAGCCAACTGAGGTGCGTCCAGTAATGGAGGGAAGGGAGCGAAAAGTGTGCGAGTGTGAGAGCGAGAGCGAGGGAGAGGAGGATGGATGGATTGATTCTAGGGCAGGCTTATGAACTTTAGAAAAAAGAAAAGTTGCTCTGAGCCGATGGAAACTTTAGAAGCTGATGATGAGTAAGCCGTGGGCTGCGTGATCTCACTCCTCTTCTCATAATTACTAGGTTAACGGTGTGGCTCCGGTCGGGATGGAATGGGATTTGTTTACTGGGCCGGCGTATTTTTAGCTTGTCGGCTCACAAGGACCGGAGCTCTGCGCTCTCCGAGTCTCTTTCCCTCCCTGCCGCCCTCCCTCTCCGCCTAGGGAGTCCGTCTCACCGAGGTGGTTCCTTTGGGCACTGTACAGATCTAGAAATTACGTGGGAAGAGGCGAACTGGTGAAGTATGTAGGAAAGTCTCCCCACACTCATGGGGGTTCCTTTTCGTGAAATGCAAAGGCAAGGATTAGCAGGACTTTGACTTTTATTTTCGTCCTAGTTTTAGAACGGTGCGTACAAAACGCTTTTTAGAAAAATCAGATGCTGATAACTTTTTCAGTCTTTGGCTCGTCATACAGTATATTGAGGAGGTCTTAGAGGAGGCTGGATCCTTTTGTCTCTCAGCATCTACTTCTAAAGTGGGAAAGGACAAGAAGAAGTAGTGATAATAAGTAAGGCCAGTCCAAAAGAGATAGCAAATCCTACATTTAAAAACAACATGTAGGAAATTTCCTTCCTAGTGAATGAGACTGCCTTCCTGGTGGGGTGAGAAGACAGAGACTTCCTTATGCTGGGTGACTTGGGCGAATCGGACTTGTAATTAAACATCTGCTGTGCATAATTTACAAACGAGTACATTACACTCTTTGTCCTCATTGTTTTTCTGCATGGTTCTTTTAAAGTCCAGTAACCAACCTGCAGTGCTAGTCTGTTGATACGTTGAAGGCTGAACAGAACTGGAAAATAAATGAAATGAATGTTGCTCATCGGGAGTCTAAATACCAGTCTTGTTCTAATTTCCACTAGCTTTCTCAGAGTACCTCCCTGAGTAAGTGGCCAGTTACTATGTACTTAGCAATCACAAATGAATACAAATATTAGCTCATGCTAGGAATAATTGAGAAAGTAAATAGCTGAAAAGATCTTCCGAAACTGAAATAGATTATTTTTCGATTTTATTCCCTTTTGGATTATCAGCACCTTTTCTGCCGAGAATTATCCATGAACGTAAATAATTTAGGATTGAACAGATATCCATGTTGGGCACTGAGCATTCAAGCGGGAAGGTAAGATGGAAGGAAGATAATTCCCAAACTATTACCAATTTGTTGTTGTTGTTGCCTCACTTGACTTATCCCTTTCATTTAATGCCAAAGACTCCCTTGTGGAAAAAAAAAAGTAAACCTTTGCCAAAGAAAGGGCTGTCTGTTGGCTTGTATAAGGCAGGCTGAACAGTACTGAATGGTAATTGTTAGTTGGACTCGGTAGTTATGTCACCAACAACTTGGAAATATTCCTGAAGCTTTATTTCCTTAAGCTCCTTCTTTGGGGACCCCTATTGAAAAAAGATTTAATTTGGAGGGTAAAATCACATTTTTAAAAACCACACACACCCTCTTAGAGTCTGTGGACTCTTAATAATTGTTTTAATTTGTGGGTTGGTATTTGCGATGTCTGGGAAATTCTATTTATATCAATAAGGTAATAGGGAAGATTTCTGAATCAGCAAAATTTGAAATGGAACTGGAGGCTATGGATTAGAGTCCTAAAGAGGCTTGACCTGTGGCGTTAGATAGAACTTGGTTCAAATCTTGATTACAGTTTTTACTATGTGGCCTTGGACAATTTACTTCCCCATCCTTATTTATAAAGTATGTATGAGCCTTCAGGCAAATGAAGTGGTTATTCTTTATTAGAAGTACACGAAGAGAAAAGAGCTTCCAGGCAGAAAGTATGTTTCTATCTATTTATATCAACTTCTACATTGATTATTCTGTGGCTGGTGGGATGGACTGGGGACTGAAGCAGTTGAATAAACCTGGGAATAAGCATAGGGCGGCCTCATAGCCTTGCACGATTCCCATTTCGCAGAAGGCATTGTGTGGGTTTTTGAGATTCAGTATGTGCAACTAAGGGAATTCTGATGGAATAACAGTATATTAAAAAGAAAATGTTCAGACTGTTATGGGGGTAGTAAGTGGCACTCTTGAAAGTTTTAGAGCTTCTCAAGCATGCTTAAGCATGCAATGGGTCCTGCAGATCCTTGTAAGATTTTGTGTGAGGAGCACCTCCTCTTCTTCCCCCGAACATTTATCCCACCGAGGGAAAATCCTGAGCCAGGGCTTTGAAGTGTGGCTTCAGCACTGTCTTCTCTGTGGGAACTTAGATGTGAAATCTTCTCAACGGCCGCCAATTAATTCCGAGAATTATAATATGTGTAACTGGAATATACATGCAGGGCAGTTTTATGAATGCCTGAATTCAGTTGATTTTTTTTAGTATGATACAAGAAAGTTGTTTTTTGTTTGTTTTGTTTTGTTTTTAAGTAAGAAATACTTGCCGAATAACGATTGAGCACTCTTGTGGATAAAGCTGTCTCCAAACTCCAGTGACTGGCTTTGGGAATGTAGAAAAGATACAAAGGCAGGTGTCCTTGCCCTTGGGACAGGGATGGGGTTGTGACAGGGATATAAAAAAGGAAGGCACACTGTTAATAAGCTTTAACATTTAGGACACAACATATAAACAAAAGCAAGTTCAGTGTGCTATCAATGGAGTATGTAGAGGCTAGAAAACTTGAAGTAACAAAGTAAGAGTCTGTGAGATCAATTAGGGAAGATTTCTGAATCAGCAAAATTAAAAAAAAAAAATTTTCCTTTAATGTTTATTTCTGAGAAGAGAGAGACAGAGACAGAGTGTGAGTGGGGGAGAGGCAGAGAGAGGGAGGCACAGAAACCAAAACAGGCTCCAGGCTCTGAGCTGTCAGCACAGAGCCCAACGTGGACCTCGAACCACGCATTCATGACCTGAGCCGAAGTCGGACGTTTAACCGACTGAGCCCCCCAGGCGCCCCCTGAATCAGCAAAATCTGAAATGGATTTGGAGGCTGTGGGTTAGAGCCCTAAAGATGCATGGGTGGCCAATGGAATTAGCTGGAACTTGGGTTAGAATCTTGACTCTGTAATCTTGGGACAATTGTCCATCCTTATCTGTGAAATATGTGTGAGTATTCAAGTAAATGAAATAGCTGCTCTGTGGTAGGAGGAAAAGAAAATAAAAGATCTTCCAGGCAGAAAGTATAGAAAGTACAGTGTGAAGTGATGGTGTGAATGACTGAGCTGTGTTTGTTGCGGGAATAAATGAGGGGCTGGAGAGAATGTGGGTGGTCATGTCATGGGTAAAGCAGGCAAGAGGGTGGAGGGGACTCAGAGGCCAGACTCTGTTGGGTGTTGATGGAAGGGTCAATAGAGTCATTGTAGGTCCTTGGAACAAAGGATGGATTTAGTGAGAAGTATTGAGCCTCCTAGTCCAGGAACGCAGGGACGAGGAGTCCGGCACCACCGGTACGTTGTAACTCCTCGGTTTCTCTCCTGGACCCTCTTGGTCTAGAGGGGCCATCCAGGAGACATAGGATTCCTTATAGATGTTTTTGTGTCCACACACCTTCCTCACTAGGCTGAGCTTGGCGTGTGCCTGTCTCCTGTTCTCCCAGCTTGTGGGTTACGGCTGGATTCTCCTCAAGAGCTTATGGTAAGGACTGTGTCATGTTTCAGGCGCACGTAACTTTCTGTCGTCTCTGCTATTGTAGGGCACACTGGTATATGCAATTCAGAACTTCATATGGAAATTTCTTTGTTTGAAAATGCACTATTTTTTAAAACCAGATTTATTTTATTAATTTTTAAAGTTTATTTATTTTCAGAGAGAGAGCATGAGAGAAAGTGTGTGAGAACTGGGGAGGGGCAGAGAGAGGGAGAACGAAAATCCTAAGCAGGCTCCGTGCTAACAGCGTGGAGCCCAGTGTGGGGCTCGATTTCAGGAACCATGAGATCACGACCTGAGACGAAATCAAGAGTTGGATACTTACCGACTAAGTCACCCAGGCGCCCCATAAATCAGATTTATCTTAATATTTTTGAGGATCATACTGATATTGAGAATGAATTTGTGTTTCTGAGCCTATAGTCCCTGAGGGGAGGAGAGTATATTGATGGCAAAGAACAGGTGGACTGTTTTCCTCAGAAATCCTTTAAAATAGATAATCCATTTGTGGATAGTTAAGACTAGACTATACTGGGTATGATAATGAAGACTAATTTCCTTTCAAAATCTGTGCAAGTCCAGTGTGGCCACCTGGGCCGTCTCCCTTCTGCCTAAAAGTGACTTCTAGGTGATGCCTGTGATGTGGCCAGAATGAGTCTTCACTCACCGTAACTGCAGGAATCCTCTTGCGTTATATCGCATTGTTGAAGATGAGTGAAGATAGCTTTTTCAAAGTAACTGGGCTTT